CACCTTTTTTCAAGCTAGTATGCCATTTTTTTATATTGGAATAAATGTTGAATATTATGACAGTTACAAAAAATAACAAATTTTATGTTCTACATTTTGTGTTTGTTATTTAAACAAAAGCGAATTCATGGTTCAAATTTTATAAATAATTCCTGCATATAATAACTGAATATATGATCCTAGGTATAGTTGATACATTAAAAAGCAGTATATTCCAATTATTGCATATATTCTATAAAACTTGTGGTACTTACTAGATACTTCTTTTTATCTCAACAACAGTTTTATAAACACGTTCTGAATTGTAATTTATTCTTAACAAATGTTTGGTCTTTTGTCTTTCAGAAATCATATGATTAGAAGTCAGTTACTTACAGAGAAATTTGTATTTGTATCCATGAATTAATATACATAACATCCATCAGATATCAACCATATTCAATCCATCTCTTTTTATTTATATATTTTAATGATAACTGATTTTATATTATCTTGCTTTTTTCATTGACATAGAAATTTTTGCATTTATTTAGTGATCATTGCTTTGCATAAAAATTAAACCTCAGCATCTTATCAAACTTGTATTAATTTAATAAAACGTTCAATTGAAAATTTAATCAATCTGGATCTTTGAAAATTTAATCAGCACTGGGAGTCATTAATGTAATAAAAAATACACAAATTGCTGACTGAATTTCACATACCATATTTTTATTGTTTCTAATACGCGTCATAATTCCTTTGTAAGACATTGTAAAATTAATAAGTTTGTTTTTTATTGCTATTTACTTTGCGTTTAAGGAAGCAAATTAACATTCTAGAGAAAATTGTTCACCTGCGCGCCCTTTATATACTACATAAAACGTGTCATTAAAATAAAACAAAATAATAAAAACCTGTATGACAATTATATTAGATGTTGAGTAACAGGAAAAAGAAATAACCATATTGTTTTATAAGATCAGTGATCAAATCTTCATAATACTTTCAAGTTTTCGAAAAAACATTTGTTTAATACAGACAACACAGGAACAGTTGATATATTAATTATAGGTAAATAACTAAATAACACAAACCTATCTCACCTGGAAGAATAACTCGATTTAAATATCTCTCTGCTTTAATACTTCAAAATGGTAGATTAAGTTTATGAACATTAATACAAAAATGTAATGTTATGATATAAAAATCCCATAAAATAGATTAGTTTTAGAATTGTTATGAATAGCAATATATAAACATTTATAAGTGATTAAAAAAGAATTGAATTTATCAATTTATTTTTCCTCACAAAGTTATTGCTATAAAAGTAATCTTTCTCATAACAAGTAGTAATCAAATCAACGATAATTATTGAGTATTAAAATAGTGTTATGTAATAAATGATAGATGCTGTATTTTCTTTAAAGTATTTTTGTATGGAAATGTATAAATCCACAATTACTGTTGACTAGGATTAAGGCATGTTAGCAATCACCAGCTGTTAAATGTCTATTAGCCTAATTGTTATGTATTTAAAATCATTCACTGCTTAAAATATTTATCATTTAGTAGAACAACATTCTATTCAAGGCCAATGTGTTTTACTCAGACATTTTAGCTTACGAAGATTATAATATTTTAGGTTGTATAGTGCATGTTATGAATTTATTTCTATGTAATATGACCTTAATTAAATGACCGACAAACTATAAGATTTATGGTAAAAATGTAATTCCAGTTGATATTTCAAGTGTTTTTGCATTATACAATATTTTACCTTTTTCCATACAAAAATACAATAAAGATATAACGGCATCCATGTTTTACAAGCAGAATTTTTTTTATTCTATTTTAGGTTTTATAATATGTCATTGCTTAAACACGTGTAAATGTTGCACAAAAGGACCTTCCATTGGTCATCAATGTCATCAATCACAGGAGTATAATAACAAATGATTCATTTTTCTCGTATACCTATAGTTTAGTGAGAATCATTTTACGTCATTTTGATGCGAAATAGAGTCGCGTCTTTTCAAATCACTGGAAATCATGATAGTGACAAAACTGTAAACAAACTAAAACAAATTGATCGTCAAATTATCTTATTCTTACGTTAATTACAAATATTAAGTGATTATTTTTTACACTTTTTAACAGCTTTCCAAATGCAAGTTTTTCACAATAGAAACGTACATTTATGGTAACTACGGCCCACAGAAAAGCCACAACTTTAAAGAGAAACAACCATACGTGCTCCGAAGACTGAACACATATTTTAAGGTTTATACATTTTGCTAGAATGTATTCAGGTATAGACGATTTGATAATTAATGTAGATTTCATTCGATTGTATATTGTTAAAGAATACATGTATATGTAAATTATTTTGAAAAGATAACTACAGACGTATAAGTGCGATGAGCAGTCGATAAATTTAATGTGCCATGGTTTTATTTAAATCTACGTAAATCAGCCTGTGTGTCATAATTTTAAGGGACTCAGTTTAAAACGTAAAATTAAAAAAATTTCTGTCCCGTCAAGTTAAGAAACATCAGTAGAGTTCCTTTAAGGGAAAATGACAGTAAACTTTATGACTTTGTACAATTATCTAGATATATAACAACTCGACACAAACAAAATATGAGATCACATTTATCATTGTCACATTAATCAAAGTTAATATGGAAACACAGGGAACACAAAGTTTCTAAAATAGAGTTCTATATTTGAAAGACAATTGAAATAGAAATAATTTGAACATTGATTTAACGAAAGAAAGAAAGAAGTATAAAGGGAAAAATGATTAAAACAATCGTAATGTATTATCTTTAATATTTTGAGACGCCAGTTGAATTGAAAAGTAATACTTGAAATAATCTTGAAATCAGGAAAAAAGTTCACGTACAAATATTTCATTATAATAATCAGCAAATGTATTTTCATTATACAAATGACTTGAAAGGAAAGTCTCAACAAAGCTGAATGTTCTTTAAAATAAATCTGGAAACATATTTTTTGCTGTCAATCAAAATAAAAACATTGTTATTAAAGTGTACAGGAAATTAAAGCCGACCTCAGCCAAAATGAGATGTAATCATTACAGACAAGTCTATTATTTATATGTTATTTCTTCTAATGTGACAATTTACACTCATATCAATTAAGATAAAGAAATTTATTTGGACACTCTCTCTTACTGAATTGATCAAATTGATAGTTAGGATATATATTGTATAATATATATACTAAGATAACTAGTTTCTCAATGAAGAGTTTGTTAGAAACGGACTAACTAATTATTATTTATGTTTCAACTTTATGACGATTGACGACAGAGCATTTACAATTTAACAAGTATCTTATAAAAAAAAACACATTCAAAACGAAAAGGAGCACACGCCGTTAAAAGATGAAGTTATAATATCAGTACAAAAAATAGTTCAAAGTACAAAATGGTATTTAAGCTTTTTTTTTAAAAATACTTTTTAAAGCTGGAGAAATATCAAACAACTCGTTGACAAAAAAGGATGACGAAATACTATAAAAGTATGAAAGCCGGTATCATATTGTTACGCCCCCATAAAAGTGAGAAAAGGGTGTTAGCTTAAAGCTAGTCAGGATTTAAATATATGCCAGGCGTTAATAAGGGGAAAGTAACATGTGTGGGAATTAGATTTGGTTCTACCTACTGAGAGATAAATAAGACATGTTCCAGTTCAATCTATGATTTTATTATTGGTTCATGATAGTTTATTCATGAAATATTAACATACAATATTAGTTAATCTGGCTTTAACCAGATTGTTCTATAGTAAACAACTGAGCTTATTAGAGAAACATATATGTAGATCTAGTACTATAATATAATATCCGAGTTCCAAGTATATAGTTAATTATAGATTTACCAGATTGGGTCAAGTCAGAATCCGGTCAAGTTCCAGATTGGGTCAAATACCAGATTGGGTCAAGTTCTAAAAATGGGTTCAAGTTAAGTTTATAATACCAACTTTAGAGTTATATAAAATTGTATAAAGATCCCAGATCAGTGACAGGTTAAATGTTTATAATTATATTTGGGTACAAACCTCCTGATTGGAGTACATTTCTTACGACTGGTTGGTAAAGATCTTAATGCCCAACTGAGTATGATAGGTTAACCCAGTAGCTTAAATAGAATAGGAGCGCGCGACCCAGTACTTGTGACGTCACTCGCTACCCGAAGTACATCGTGGTGAACGGTGAAGACTACTTGGAACTCGTATATCTCAATAAATACAGAGAGTTAAAAGCTAAAATCGGTCTCAAAATGGAGCTAAAAATTAGTATGATCGACAGAAAACAAAAATACAGGTTGTCAATCAGTATTATTCGTGAAAACATCGATAAAGCTTGGACTAAATCGGGATCATGAGACGCTTGACTAGACGGCAAACAATTCCATAAAAATAAAGCGTCCCGTGACTTTGTAAGACACAATACACAATTTGACATGTTCATAGCATTGCCCTCCCCCCTAAAGGATTGGTCTCCAATTAAGCAGGACAAGAAAGAATAATTACAGCAAAAGACCAGTGTCTTACAAAAGGTACAGTTAACTTTTCTTAAATACTTTGTAATGTAAAAATGCATGACATGAGTAATTAATTTCTAAACAATTTAATTAATTGACATAAATAATTTAATTAATTAATGCTTAGAGTTGTAACATAATAGACTAGAACTGGATTCAACTTAGATAACAATGTATAAGTTTTATTCAACAATTAACAATTAAATTCACACATGCATTCCAATTACTCTAATTACATGTTAATAAATAATTTTATGAACATACAATTTTTTTTTTAACACCTATATCATAAACATATAATTTATATTACAGATGTACATTATGTTAGATGTTGAAAGTATTTACATCCAAGAAATAATATGATAAAGATAAAAAAATAATGACCATCAACATTACAATCTACAATTAACCAACATCAGGTAAGTATTAACTTGTACATCTATTTCATTAATGAATTATATAAACACATTCATTAAGTCTCACTTACATATGGCATCTTCATAACTGCATAAATAAATGATTAACACTTGTAACAATTTATAACTTCAACATTAACTTGATTAAGTGCATGTAATAATGAAAAGTTTAGCAAATTTACTAAATTCTAAACTTTATGATTTAGTCCAATTTTACATAAATGCCATAATGTCTTCTTAGTGAATAAACATTTCACTAAGCAATACAATAATTTAATCTGAGCATAACATTTTAATAACAACATGTGACATTTATTTATAAAACTATTTAACTATCAGTCATACCATAGACTACATCATTGCCCTAATGTTCTCTTAGTTAATAAATATTTCAATAAGCAATACATGTATAATAATCTCAACAGAGCATATAAAAATCAACAACATTCATTTACATACCCATCAATCATACCACTTGTGTTATAAAGGAACACAAAATTTGTGTTCTTGCTTAATTAAGAAAGTACTACACATACATGTAGTATGTTAAAAATTATTTAATCATAAATATATGAAAATTCCTTAACGGTTATTTATTATTTAAGGTATTTCCTGTCAATAATATTTGCCATTACATTATGCAATAACAATTTAATATAATAAATCAATACTTACTATGTAAACTATGCTAATGAAAATTTACAATTTGTTTTTATTGTTTAAAGCTACTGTTTAAAAACATTAATGAAAAATTCTTTACTTACTTCAATAGGTACTAATGAAATGTGACTGTTAAGCAATAAAGAGGAAAAATCTTACACATCAATTGAGGAAAAATTAAGGTATTGTATACATATAATTTAAAGTAATGATATTTAACTTATATACTTAATAATTAATTACAATCTTCATCTGTTCTTCTTCTGTATCTTGGGTACATTTTCATATATATATTCCACGCGAAATTACATGTGAAGAACACATGACATATCTGTATAATTATAATTCATTTTCTGATATTTTCTTTGGTGTTTACATGTATTAATTAACATGACATTTCTTTTTATTTAATTCAATTTCTGATATTTACTTCTGTTACTTGATGATGATATCTGGATATGACTTATCTTTTATTAATTTCAAAATAGTCCGATTAGTTTTTCTCTTTTCTCTGTAGCTATTTTCAACAATTTTAGTAGACCATAATATTTACACTCAAGAATTAGTTCTTTCAGTTCTATTTTGTTGTTTGGTAACAGAGAAGCTGGTGTAAGTTCACCTTGTCGGGTATATCGGAGATGTTGAAGTATTGTCCTGAAATTTTTACTGTCCCGATCAATATATATTTCTTCATTATCAATCTGTAATGCGATATTTTTCAGCAAGCTTTCTTCCGCACATAGCGTTCCTCTTGTTGTAGAATATTTTATTCCTCCTACATTCAAAATTATTATTTCTTGGTGTTTAATTTCCTCGAGTTTCTTCTTCATTTCTTTTTCTGTTTTTTCTGTTTCCTTATTTTCAACTGTTTTTTCTACTCTTTTCTTTGTCATAATTTTCTCTTTTCTTTCTCTCTCCAATTTTTCTCTTTTCTCCTTCTCTTTTTGTTCATTATCTAGCCTTTCTTTTTCTTCTTTTTCTCTTCTTTCATTTTCTAGCCTTTCTTTTTCTTCTCTTTCTCTCTCCAACTTTTCATTTTCTATTCTTTCTTTTTCTTTTCTTTCTCTGTCCAACTTTTCATTTTCTAGCCTTTCTTTTTCTTTTCTTTCTTTTTCAATTCTTTCTTTCTCTTTTCTTTCATTATCTAGTTTTTCTTTTTCTTCTCTTTCTTTTCTTTCTCTGTCCAACTTTTCATTTTCTAGCCTTTCTTTTTCTTTTCTTTCATTTTCAAGTCTTTCTCTTTCTAACCTCTCTTTTTCCAACTTTTCTCTTTTCTCCTTCTCTTTTTGTTCATTTTCCTCTCTTTCATCTGTTCTTAATTCTTTTTCTATCACGTCTGTAGCCATTCTTATTTCTTCCCTTTCCTTTTGCCTCATTTCACTAATCCTTCTTTCATTTTCTCTTTTTCTTCTTTGTTTTTCTCTTTCACTGATTTCAATTGTATTATTCTCTTCACAAATCTCTCCCACAACAAGGGCTTCTAATGTCGCCATTTCTATTTCAGAAGAGTGTGTGGAAGATGACGTAGAAGATGATGATGATGAAGATGTTGTTGATGTTGTAGAAGATGATGATGACGACCTTGATGATGATGGTGATTTACTTCTTACTCTTTTTTCATTTGGTGTTACAAAGTCATTTTTTCTTTTTCTAATGTATAATTGTGGTCTTGTTGCAATTCTTTTTGTTGGCGAATGATTTTCTTTGTTGTATCTATTATCAATTATTAATTCATCTATATTTTTAATAAAGTTTTGAAGACAGAATTGTTTGCCGTCTCGTCAAGCGTCTCATGATCCAGATCTAGTCCAAGCTTTATCGATGTTTTCACGAATAATACTGATTGACAACCTGTATTTTTGTTTTCTGTCGATCATACTAATTTTTAGCTCCATTTTGAGACCGATTTTAGCTTTTAACTCTCTGTATTTATTGAGATATACGAGTTCCAAGTAGTCTTCACCGTTCACCACGATTTACTTCGGGTAGCGAGTGACGTCACAAGTACTGGGTCGCGCGCTCCTATTCTATTTAAGCTACTGGGTTAACCTATCATACTCAGTTGGGCATTAAGATCTTTACCAACCAGTCGTAAGAAATGTACTCCAATCAGGAGGTTTGTACCCAAATATAATTATAAACATTTAACCTGTCACTGATCTGGGATCTTTATACAATTTTATATAACTCTAAAGTTGGTATTATAAACTTAACTTGAACCCATTTTTAGAACTTGACCCAAATTGGTATTTGACCCAATCTGGAACTTGACCGGATTCTGACTTGACCCAATCTGGTAAATCTATAATTAACTATATACTTGGAACTCGGATATTATATTATAGTACTAGATCTACATACATGTTTCTCTAATAAGCTCAGTTGTTTACTATAGAACAATCTGGTTAAAGCCAGATTAACTAATATTGTATGTTAATATTTCATGAATAAACTATCATGAACCAATAATAAAATCATAGATTGAACTGGAACATGTCTTATTCATCTCTCAGTAGGTAGAACCAAATCTAATTCCCACACATGTTACTTTCCCCTTATTAACGCCTGGCATATATTTAAATCCTGACTAGCTTTAAGCTAACACCCTTTTCTCACTTTTATGGGGGCGTAACATCTGGTGTCAGAAGTGGGATATGTACCTTTATGTTTAATGGCCTTTCGCTCTTCTGTTCATGAGTCTATTGGAGTCACACCTGCAACAATGATGTTCGGAACAGAAGTTAGGCTTCCGATTGATATGGTTCTTGGTAAACCTGAAATAAATAATCCTGCAAAGAAATATGGCACGGATTATGTTGAGACTTTAGAAAATAGAATTACTGAAGTACATGAATTTGCAAGGAAAAAGCTTTCACTTTCAAGTGATACAATGAAAAAGCACTATGACTTAAATAGTTATACTGTTAGATATGAAATAGGTAATCTTGTTTGGTATTATAATCCAACACGTAAAGTTGGAAGAAGTGGCAAACTTGGTAGACCTTGGAAGGGTCCGTATCAAGTGGTTTCAAAAATTAGTGACATTTTGTACCGTATACAAGGTTTTCGAGAGAAAGCCCGTGTTGTTCATCATGACAAGTTAAAACCGTATGAACAATAACTATTTAAACCATACTCTTTGAGTGTTCACTTACCTTCATATTTTTTTTTTTAATTATTTTCTCCAGTTTGTCTTGTAACGACTTACAGTGGTCACTCTGTACATAAAAAAAAAAATTATATATATATATATGAATACTGAAATTAACTATGTCTGATTGGATAATAAGAAATAATAAATATTATCAAACATTTTTTTTTAAATTTTTTTTCAGAAAAGATATACATGTCAAATATGCATGGATATGCATTTCACAACCAAGGGTAAATGCAAAGCACATATCATTGAACAGCATAGTAAAGTGAACTATAAATGTGTAAAATGTGCCAAGGTGTTCCTTAGAAATACTCCATCTAATTTCTGTCATACAAGTAGAAATGACTTTACCAGATTTCATACTGTCACGGGCCAGAGAGGCAAAGAGGCAGAAGAAGCCTTACAGGAATTTATTAAAAACATTGATCAAATGATTATCGATAATACAAACAGATATTATACACCAACACAAAGACATAACACATTGCCTAGATTACCATACTCGGGTAAAAGAAGTTCTCAAGATATAAATGTATACCAAAAACAAGCCTCACCACCAAAAAGACTTTGTGTTAGAGAACGGTCACTTTCGTCAACCGACACATCTAGATCATCTAGTAGTAGCAGCAACAGCAGTAGTAGCAGCAACAGCAGTAGTAGCAGCAACAGCAGTAGCAGCAGTAGTAATGACATTGAAATTGACAAACTAGAGGAAAGTGTAGTAGAGGTAAACATTATGAGTGACAATAGACAACAGGAAAGAGAATTTTTAAGAAGGAGGTTAGCAGAGGAAAAGAAAAAGATAGAAGCTGAAGATAAAAGAAAAGAAGAAGAAAGGAAAGAAAGATTGAGAATCGAGTCGGATGTAAGAGAAACAGAGAGAAGAATATATATTGAATTAAAGAAGCAAGAGGAGGAAGAAAGACAGAAGAAAGAGGAGGAAGATAGAAAGAAGAAGGAGGAGGAAGATAGACAGAAGAAAATGGAGGAAGATAGAAAGAAGAAAGAGGAGGAAGATATACAGAAGAAAATGGAGGAAGATAAACAGAAGAAAGAGAAGGAAGATAGAAAGAAGAAAGAGGAGGAAGATAGACAGAAGAAAATGGAGGAAGATAGACAGAAGAAAGAGGAGGAAGATAGACAGAAGAAAGAGGAGGAAGATAGACAGAAGAAAATGGAGGAAGATAGAAAGAAGAAAGAAATGGAAGATAGAAAGAAGAGAGAGGAGGAAGATAGACAGAAGAAAATGAAGGAAGATAGAAAAAAGAAAGAGAAGGAAGATAGACAGAAGAAAGAGGAAAAAGATAGACAGAAGGAAGATGAAGAGAATAGAAAGAAGAAAGAGGATAAAAAGGAAGAAGGAAATAAAAAGAAAGAGGAAGATAGAAAAATAGATGAAGAAAATATACAGAATAAAGTAGAAGATAGAAAGAATATAAATGGAAAAAATAGAAAGGAGGAAGAACATGGAGAAAAAGATGAAGAGAATCAAAATGAAGATGATAGAAGGAAGGAGGAAAATGATAAGAAATATAAAAAAGAGAATGAACATAGTGAAGGAAAATATAAAAAGGAACATGAGGAGAAAAATATAAAAAAGAAAGACGATGTGAGCAAAAATAAAATTAAAGAAAGAATTAAACAAATTAAAAAGGACAATGAAAATAAAATTATCTTGAACATAGGAGGAAAACAATTCCATAAAATTAAAGCGTCCCGTGACTTTGTAAGACACAATACACAATTTGACATGTTCATAGCAATATTATTGCTTTATAGTGATATACTTGGCCATATCTTGTGAGCATTTTAACGAAAAGAGTCTGATATTTAAAGGATTAGGAATAAATAAGACAACACATTTAGGTTCCTTAATGCAATAAATTCAGCGATGATTGCACGCGTGCTCAATCAGCAAATATCAAATTTTTAATTACTTTACTGTAGTCACTGATATGAATTATCAAGATAAAAATAGGTTTCCAAATATAGACCATTTTAGCCATTTAATTATTCATTTGTAGTATCAATAACCGTTAATTGCAATAAATCAGAAGTTTAAAGAAATGTTTCATCTTGATAGATGTAAACTTCATTTGCAGTCGTTTTACGAGTAGAGTGTCAGATGAATAAATATGCTATTGGGTACGCATGTCACCGGAAGTTCACAAATATATTTCTTCTTTAGTTACTTTGGTTTGATTTAATCAAGATACAAAAAAATGTTGAAACAAATATTGCCAAGTACAGTAAATATCAATATTTAACAGTTAATCAAAATAAATTACGTATCTATTATGCATTGGTTTACCTTCATGATAAGACCTCAATTTACACTCGGTTTTGCTTATAGTGCTATTAAATCCAATTCCACCAGTTTGTAACGAAGGAATAATTTGTCAAATAAAAGATAGTTCTTCGTGTGCTCAGATCTATTATGACAGAACAAGTTTAACGAAATCTCACACTTTTATTTTTCTATTGAGGCAAATGGGACACTGTTTATTTTGCGACAATGTTTGACATGCAAGTATAATTGCTTTTCTTCCTACATATTTGAGATAATTTCTAAAGTATATGTAAATGTAGTTCAATTTGAAGAGAAACATGAAATGAAGGAAAAAAAATATTTAAAAAAATAAAATAAAGCAACCGTAGATTGTATGACAAGTTACCATGGTGAAATTGTACAAGATAAATTAGTGAAATGTCGTACCTATCCATGTACCCTTTATTCGAGTTGATTTATAAAGAAATCATTTTTAAATTTAATCTTAAGTATATTTCCTTGTTGTCTTTTGCAGATATTTTTCACCTAAAGTGCTTCCCGTGATATTTGTAACATTTTCAAATTTTAAGTTTCAAGCTTCTGGTTCCTTCAAATTGTGACACACAGGCTGGTTTTCGTAGTTTTAAATAGAACAATGGCGTACACACTTCATCCATTGATCACCGCACACATACTTGTGGAATTATCATTTCAAACTAATTTACATATATAATATTCTTTTTCCATTTACAATCTACATAAGTTATTAAATCGCCAATACTTGAAAACATTTAAGCAAAATGTATTAACCTTAAAATATCTTCAGTATTTGGAACATGTATGGTTGTTTCTCTTTAAAGTCTTGGCTTTTCTGTGGGCCGTAAAAAGGTTAAAACTATGAATATATGTTTCTGTGGTGACAAAAGGGTTATAAAATATTTTACTACAGTAGAACTTCTATGAGTCGAACTTCGATTAGTCGATTTTCTCGATGTGTCGAAGAAAAATGAAAGTCCCGATTTTTTCCCCTATATCTTCCTTATAAAAACCTATTTATGAGTCGAGATTTTATGTGTCGAATTTTTCGATGTGTCGAAGTTTTTTCGTGGTCCGTATAAAGTAAATCTAGTGCAATTTACCACAAATAAGTCGAAGTCTTTCGATTATTTTGACACCTTCGATCTCGAGACAATTTTTAACACCTTATCTGGCTGCGAAGACGATTTCCAATCAACTTGTGTGACAGGTTTTAATTACACATCTGTGTGTTCAAACATCCTTTGTTTGCGATAAAATGTGTGATAAAATGCTTTAATCGTTACTATTTTAATTGCCGTAATGGTATTTGAAAGTAAACAGTTAGAACTACTTTCATTTGAAAACATCCATGACCCGGTGTTGCGTGAGAATAACACGCGAAATATTTACTATGAGACGGTTTAGTTATCGCCCTTTCTTACTGTTACGCCTTTTGTAACTCTATTTGTATACGTCAACGGGTAGTCCAAATAATAAGCCGTGAAAAACGTTATCTAACATGCTATATTTATCATTGTAAAATGTAAAATATCTGATTAATGATTGAAAAGCATGAAAAAGGTTTCGTTATAGATCTTATGATTAGCACTAGTAACGGGTCGAAATTTTGTCATGGAATTGAAAGCGATTCATGAGTCGAAGTCCCGATGTGTCGAAGTTTTTATCCAAGTCCCTTCAACTTCGACTTACCGAAGTTCTACTGTATATGATCTAAAAAAAGCTGCAATCTCATTGGTCCAAACTGTAGTCAACAGAACTTTTTTATAAAATCATATTCACTGGGTGTAGTATCATACTAACTGGCTGAATTGGATTTTTGCAAGTCTTAAAATAGATTGAGACTCATATTCAATGACCATACACCGTAGACTGTTAATAACGTGTGTTAATTAAAAAAATATTGTTGCGTTTTGTTCTTTATGGAATATGTCTCGATTAAAATATCATTACTTTACTATTATACTTAAAGGTTAAATCGCAACTTGAATGTCTTTTGTATGCGCAGCGTTCGCGTTGTCGTTGCAAGCCTAACACGTGCGTCTTTTTCCCGCGCTTCAACGAGGCAAAAATTGTACATGGTTATAAGGTTGTACTTTTTCGTGATTTTTTTTTTTAATTCTTAGCTTAATAATATAATAAAACAATTATTGACTAGTGAGCTATTGGATATGATGTGATATTCACCGGCAGAAAGTCATATTGACCTCGGCTATCGTCTCGGTCAATATGTCATCTGCCGCTGAATATCCATCATATTTAATGGATCACTAGTCAATAATTGTATAATATTTATTATATTAAGTAATCATTAAATATTTGTAATTATCGAAATAATAAGATAATTTGATGATCATTTTTTCAGTTTGTTTACATTTTTGACATCATCATCAACACCAATTTTTAAACAACACTATTTAAGGGGTGGGCTTAGATATTGTTGAATAATTTCTTGTAAATTCAAACACTAACGACTGCTGATATAATATGAAAAAACAATTTGAGGGCAAAATTATGAAAGTTTCTCTGCTTTTTAATTCTTGTTTCTTTTCAAACTCTTATAGATCATACTGAGGGGACTTTTAAGTACCAAATAAATTAATCATTTCTTATATTAAATTGCTAGGATGCATTAGGTTTATAATGATGCTTTATAACTTGTTAAAATAACTTGAGATTGCTTGCCGAGATTTGTTAAATCGATTTAACAAAAGTCTTGGCCACGACTCAAGAAAATGGAAGATGCTTGTTTATGCAAGTCGGTACTTATATAAAAGAAGTTAAGTAATTGGAAATAAGTCATGGTAGATCCATTAAAGATAATAACAGTGCAGAATACTAATAATTTCCTCGTATGCTCTTCAGACGTCATTCCACGTCAATCGTCTATATTTAGAAAAACACGACTGTATGTAAAGAAAAACATTATTTATCAACGGAAACATAAATTAAGACTTGTCAGTTCAGTTTAAAGTTGTTATCCGATAAAAATAAATCATACGCCCCAGTAATTAATAGCAGAAGGCATTTAGTATAGTTTAAAGTATCTGCCATGAAGTCAACAAATCATAAAATAAAATTATTAATACTTATTTTGATTGATTAAAACAATCATTAAAAGCAAGATGACGTACCTTACTGACTTTTTTCGGTCTGACCTTAATAAATTCAAGATTTGTGGCGTGGTCGAGTGGTTAACACGTTGGACTAGAAATCTAAGGATTGCTGACCTGTGGGTTCAAACCCTGTCAGGAGCATGTCGTTGTTTCCATGAGCAGGACACATTTCATTCATTGTTTAGTAAAGCTTGTTTCCAGGAACGGATTCGAGAGTGTTTCAATAAGTTTATAGCTTCCAACACAATCGAACTAAAATAAATTTGTATAAACTTATATAAACTTAACTACGCAAATAAATAATTTTTTCTTTTCTATTTTTTTTTCAAACCAATCAAATTTAATTACCTTTGTATATTCACTATATATCTTAATATTAAATGCTAAATTAATCTTGTGTTTTACAGTCTAATGAACAAGACATCTTCTTATAATTTGATAATTTGCTTTAATTCAATCACAGATGTGTTTGATGGAAATATTAATTAAAGACACACATCGTTCACTTACATAACGTCTCAAAAGTAATTTCACATTGCGAGCTTCCATTTGTAAGAATAGTATGTTTATCTAGATATGACTCTCGAATGTCAAAGTTTAATCAACCATCTAAAAATAAATTGATGTCTGGTACAATTACTATTGATCAAACCTTATAAGATACGTTTATTGTGAACGCGGATACGATAATTGACATTAAGCAATCTGTTCTGCAAAACATCTACAGTATAAATGGTTAATTTTGCGACGTGGAATGATTTGCGATTTTTTAGTATTGAAATTATTCACAAATATTTGATCGTGCAAAGAATATTTATTTTTAGGCGAACTTTCTTCTATCATTTGCAAAAACGTTTTCATATAACATCTTACATGAATATGTTTGAATTTTCAAGTACTAGATTTTTTTTCTCGTCGCTTGTTCTTAACAAATCACAAATGTTTTAATGAAACAATATATATGTTTATAACACAATAAGTGATTCATATAACAAAAAAATGTTTCACAACTGAATAGAACTATTACAATAACGTCATATTCTTAACATGTAATTTGTTTATTGCCGTGCCTATGTTTATTATATGAGGATAGAATGAGCAGTGATGTTACGGTGCTGTTTATCACTGCAATTGATCACTGAAGAGAGTTCAGTATTGAAGACAAAGCAATAGAATTAGTATATGTGCTAATAGATATGTAACATCTGAGATAAAGCTAAAGGTTACTGACAATCAATGTTTAATGACTAAATTATTTATAATTTATTGTAAAGAACATTAAGATGAGATCAGGGTGAATACAGTTATGTAAAAAAGCTCATTTCTTTTATTTTTATATAGGGACATACCACTTCAACAATCAGGCGACGGAATGACTTCAAT